CTGACCTGGATGACCGAGAATCTACAGCAGGATACTATTGGTCAGTTAAATATGTCATTAAAGGTCCATAAAGTTGTGCCTTATGTAGAGAAAAAAATCTCGAAAACTGAGTGTTGGTAAATCTATTAATTTTCACTGTAAATCCAGCTGCTAAAAGTCAACTTGCCAAACTCACATAAAGGAGCTGACTCTGTGTGGCCAGTTCATTCAGCTGTGAAGCATCTCAGCCTCTCTGGATTCCTGAAAGATGCCAGTAGAACATCATCATCTGCAAAAGTCTGTCTGACGTCGCTAAACCAGACAAACTTCTCTCCCCAACCAGCCAATGAGGTTTTACTGAACAGCACAAGGTTTAGCCCTGACTGACTGTTTCCAGATTTACATATTTAACTTTGTGCTCAGATTGTCTGCATTGCTGTTGACTCACAGGTTCAAAGAATAGAAAACTCTTAAAAGCATCACCGACACAGAGGAAGTGAACAAACACCAGTCAGAATTTAAAGACAAATCATGCAGCCATTTATGAACAATTCTAGATAAAGCAGATGCATGTGGTTCCACTTGGATGTCAGATTGATGCTTGTTGCTCAGCTGCTTTTTACAGAACTGGCAAAAAAACCTGTTGAGAAATGACCGATCCAACGAATGGAAGAGTGGCCAATCGGACAGTTTGGCTCGCTGAATAATAGTCAACCTTAGATGAAAAGGTTGCACAGTGGAGCAGTGGGTAGCATTGTTGCCTTGCAGCATCAGTGGGTTTGATTCCCAGCCAGCTGTCTATCTGAAAGGAGTTTGCATGTTCTCCCTGAGCATGCATGGGTTCTCTCCGGGTACTCCAGCTTCCTCCAACAGTCCAAAAACATGACTGTTAGGTTCATTGGCTTCTCTAAATTCTCCTTACTGTAGGTGTGCGTGTGTTTGTGCATGGCTGTGTCTCTGTGTTGAACTGGTGACCTGTCCAGTGTGGACCCCTCCTCTTGCACATGGACTTCATCGGCGTTGGCCCCACCGCCACCCAGACAAGAACTAAGCGGGAGAAAATCGTAGATGGAAATTAAAACGCATAGGATTTAGGCTTCAATCAGTGGATGGAAGCTGTACGTTTCTTCCTGGATTATAAATAATGTTTGAGTAAGTCATATCGAATTCCCATCTGGGATTTAGTGGGAAGGAGAAAATATATTATTAAAACTTATTCCCAAACCCCTCTAATTCAGTCGTAGTCACTCTCTGTGGATGTAAAACAGACATAAAGGATATAGGGTCATTTTTATTGTTCTCGCCTTTAAAAATGTTTGAGTTGCTTTTTTTTTTGTCAATATAAAATGCAATATATTTCTTCACATGACTTTTTCAAATGAGAAAAACAAAAAACTACAAAAAAACGACAGCATCAGCCACTTAATAAAGAATTCCTACATTAACATTTCACAGTGAATGACTTTCTATTTCCTCTACTTTCTATTTTCTAGCATTAGACCCAATGTCAGTGTCTAACTCAGTCAATGTCTTCAGTCAGTCTGAGATAGCCAGACTAATGTTAGTCTGCAGACTATTGTACCTCCCTGTACACTGCTCATCTGTGGACTACATATAGAAAAGTCAACCTGCAAAGGCTGCAGGCTAACGCTAACCCTATAATGATGCTATGCAGGTACTTTTGAAACGTCCAAAATGGTCCAGTGCAAGTGAGATGTTTGCCACAGCAAGAGTTAATACCCTACAAGCTGTTCTACGAAAGTTAATGTATAACTTTAATTGTAGGTTAAATGCACCTGAAAACGATATTATTTTGTCACTCACTGATACCTCACGTAGTGCGATCCGATATCAGTCTAAGCTGTGGAGACACTGGTATTCCTGTCTTCTTAAAGATCCTATTTAATTGATAATGGTACTTGTATTGTGTTTTTATCATTAACTATTTTTATTTTATTTTTATGTATGTATTTATTGGACCATGAGTCCGGAATAAAGTTTATCTACACAAAAGTTTCCCTATTGTGGGACAATAAAGGGATTTTTTGTCTATTCTATTCAATTCTATTCTATAGACATGCGAGCTGTGATCACTTCTGCAGAGCTGTCAGCATATGAAGAACAAATAGATATAATAGAGTTAAATTCCACCGTTTTTTAAGCGGAGAATGTTTTTGTTATGTACAAGGAAAAGAGATGGAGCTCTGACATTCATTAACTGCTCCACTGAAACTGAACAGTGGCAAAGCTGTTTAAAATATTACAATAAAAATATTAGATGTTATATTCTGGTACTTGCAGTTTTTACCACAAATCTTAAGAAATTCTTTCTATTCACTTTCGGTCCCTGTGAGCAGTCTGGCTGGCTCTGAACAGCCTTCGCTGGGGATTCCCAGCACGGCCGCTTCTATG